GACGTTGAAAGCGATCTTCAATCACTAATGTGGATTTTTTCAGTCTATAAGAATGTTCCGAATTGTCCCGTTACTTACATTTAAAGTATTTGTAATTTTTCGAGTAGAGGTACCTGGATCTTCTTCTTTAATGGCCAGCACATTCTCTTCTATTTCTACCGTTCTTACTGTCATTGGTCCTCCAGGTCCTCCATTTCGCTTCAATGCTCCTGTTTCACGAAGTCGTTGGCGTATACTTTGGAAGGTTTTTCTATTAGGCGTATTGCGATTAGGAAATCGGTCGCTGTACAACCGTCTAACTTCCAATGAGTTGCCAAGTCCATAAACGAAATGCATATCAGCCATCTCTGCGTTACTATAGCCATTCATGATAGGTGACTTCACTAACAAGACTTCAAATATTAAATACAGAAAATGCACGTGAAATATACACTATTCGACACATACACATGATCACTTACGAGACATATTATTCAAATTGAATGTCTGCAGCCGTTTGTGGTAATCGGAATGTTGTGATAGGTACCAATAGGATTTTGATTAATTATTTAATTGTATTGGTTATTATCATAAGATTCTTTGATAGTCAATGGTCAAGAGATTCAATGACAGTCTGTGTATTTGAACAAGGTGAACTTTTATATTCCTAATTTAATTGCCTTTGTTGTTGAATAATGCGTATTTTGTAAACAATTTATCATATACATTTTTCACAGTTCACTAACTGATCTCAAAATTGTAATTAACCTAGTTTAACTATCCCAAATTATGAAAGCCTCATTCAAAAGGCTCCACAATATAAATATTATTTGAATTGAACGGGTTCTATTTTTAGGAGTGATTAATTTTTGGGAAAGAAAGTTTTTGGCTTTCTACTACTCCATCATGAGATTAAATCAAATAGGTGAATGAATATCATTACGATGTCATCGATGACATTAGCAGATCAAGCTTATTCCGTGACATTAACAATCGTAATTCATGAATAAATTGTTTGTATTTTCTATAATGTTATCCAATTTGGTACTGAAGAGCCTAAGGGCAAGTGTCCTAAGGCGAAACATCGATGTATACCAGGGAGGATGACAGTGTTCCATGTAAGTGCAATTTGTTACCATTCATTTAAAGTAGAACTCATGTGAATGATATCTGATTTTTATTCCACAACGAATGTTTGAAATACAAACTGAGTAGAGAAAAGTATCATCTGTATAATTCAGTGTTCATATGGAAATATTTGTTTCGAAAGAATTTTTTTCTTTCGTGTAATTCAATGTTTATATGAAAGTAGCTGTTTCAGGAGGACTTTCTTTCAGTTTGTGTCTGAAAGTTACTTCTTTGCATGATCTACACATCCATGTATAGAGTTACTTATTTTCAAATTGATTACTTCTTTCCTTTTTTTGGAAGATTTCCTCATTCTTTTTTTGTATCAAGATGGATTAGTAGAAAACCAAAAACTTTCTCTCCCATAAATAATATAAACTGCATTAAACGATTAATTTTTATGTTTTTTTTGTTATAGTTTTATTTCAGTTATGAATGTGTTCGGTCATCGCCGAATTACGTTTTTATTATTCCATCAACAGCGTTAATAGCAAAATTGTTGAAATTGACCATACCTTTACGTGAGTTGAAATTATCGATTCTGTTATCGTAAGAACATATGACTAAAGTGCGTCGGAATTTCCGGTGGAAGCAGGTGTTCCACAAAGTTCTTTCTTATCTCCTCATCTATACGACTTCATGAAAGTCGCGAAAAATGCGGTTGCTACGAAAACCTGAATTTTCGAATTTAACAGACCAAACAAAATGAAACGAAAGCTTATTTCACTTTCAAACAGATCTTTTAGAATAAACACGAACAAAACACTTTTTGAGGACGGAATAGGAATCAAAATGTTCGGAATATTGTTCCACAAAGAAATATAATAAAGAAATCTCTCTCATAGATTTGTTATTCTACAAGTTTGCCGAGAAAATAGTGTACGTAACATGGTCGAAAACAGTTTTTTTAACACGCTTTTATTAGCTTAACCTGTATGTAAATACTAGTATTTTCCGTTCGTTATTGTTTTAAGCTTATTTAAAAAAAATATCTTTAACTTTTTGGTTCGATGCTCTTCAAAAGCGTGTTTTTTAGTTCTTTAAACTATTTTTATTTGGACTCGCAGACTTCAACTTTCACTACTTGTCGAAAAAACCAATATTTTCCTGCTATTGTATGACAATCGATGATAAAAATATTATTTTTCGTGATTACTAGTTTGCATTTGTAATAAAAAAAATACGATGCCCAAACAATGAATTATTTTTAATATAATTTTTTGCACCTATAACGTATTTCAATCGTTCGACATCTTTCTCAAAGTAATTATGTATACCCACTTTAGAGTGGTCTCCGGAGAGGAAGATCCCAAACAAGTGGTCCATTTTGAATAATTCGAGCACGTGAAAGAAGACACCGAAGATGACATGCGGCACCCTAACTATCGGCCGTTAGATTCGCACACAGGAAAAATGACATGTCACATTGGCGTTCCAAGGGGATTTTACATCTCATATTTTTCGTGTATCTATCACACCTATTATTGTGCGTTATTGTTTTGGCGATCTCGATGAAAATCTGTAACGTATTCGAGTAATATTTTCACTGAACTGTCTAGGAAAATCTCAGTGCTGCTTGAATATTTCATTTTTGTACTTCAAATGACGAAATACCTATTCTGGTTATTTGGAGTTCGTTATTGGCGATTGGAATGGTTCATTACATGGAAAGGAGCTTTCTGATAGGATTTCAATATTTTACGCCATTCTTTATTCTATCATTGATAGCTTCGTTCCTCAAAAAAAAAATCTGTGAAAGGAGATTTCCATGCTGGCACTCCCCTGAGCTGAAAAAACTACTTTATGAAAAGAAATTACCTCACAAGATCTAATACAAGAGCGCAAGGAGTCAAGAAAGCTACACAGCATTTAGCAATTTAAGATCAAGATGTAAATCCTTATCCAGACAATGGTATACAGATTACATCCAATATGATACAATATTACATACATGGTTAATGTGTCCAATCATCATATTGACATCTCTAAAATTTACGAAAAACTGTCCGAACTTAATATTAACAAAGGCCCCGGTCCTGATGGAATTCCTCCAACTTTTCTTAAATCATTCAGCTTTATTTTAGCTCGACCACTTTTCTATATATTTAATAATTCCCTATCATTTGGCAAATTCCCGGACTATTAGAAAACCTCATATGTCACCCCAATATATAAATCAGGTCGAAAATCCGACGTGTGTAATTATCGTCCAACTTCTATTCTTAGCGTAATCCCCAAGTTTTTGAGAGCATCATTTTTGATTATCTTACTTATGACTGCTCCCCAATTATAGGGACCGAACAATTCGGATTCACATTCAAAAAGTCAGCTGAACTGGGTCTAATTACCTACGTTGGTTTTCTGCCTGACGTTATGTCTAAGGGTTTGCAAGTTGACTCTGTTTACACTGATTTCTCCAAAGCTTCTGACAAAGTTAATGATGATGAGAGCATCATTTTTGATTATCTTACTTATGACTGCTCCCCAATTATAGGGACCGAACAATTCGGATTCACATTCAAAAAGTCAGCTGAACTGGATCTTATTACCTACGTTGGTTTTCTGCCTGACGTTATGTCTAAGGGTGTGCAAGTTGACTCTGTTTACACTGATTTCTCCAAAGCTTCTGACAAAGTTAATGATGAGCTATTGAATCATGAAAGAACACAAATTGTTAGAGTTAATCATTATTATTCTCATACCATCGCAGTTACATCGGGTGTTCCACAAGGTTCACATTTGGGACCACTGTTGTTTAACCTTTTTATCAACGATCTAATCAGGTGTTTCCATGAAAGCGAAGCTTTGCTATTTGCCGACGATTTAAAGTGTTTCAAAATAATTAAAAGTGAAGCTGATACATTGTGTCTACAAAACGATATAGATTTCCTATCCAACTGGTGTTCGTGAAATGGTATGTGTTTGAATGCATCAAAATGCCAAATTCTTCGCTTTCATCGAACACATCACCCAATCATTTTTGAATATAGTATAAATATCGGACCTTACATTCTGCTACTGAAACCAAAGATCTAGGTGTGATCCTAAATTCCACACTTAGCTATAAATCACACATTTCCGCTGTAATTCAGAAATCTATGAAGATGCTTCGCTTTATAAAGAGAACCACTCGTGATTTCACCAATATCACTGCTATTAAATCTCTTTACTTTTCCCTGGTTAGATCTCATCTCGATTATTGTTCCACAGTTTGATCCCCTCACTACGTTACACAAAAAAAGAAACTCGTGGCCGTACATCACAATTTCCTGCGATATATTGCCTTCAAGATGCGTGTATACTATGACTATACTGCATTGGAATGCATTTTGAACATACCTTCTCTTGAGACTCGCAGAAAACATATCAAAATTATCAACGGACTTAGTATCAGTCCCGAGCTTCTCTCCAAAATATCTTTAAATGTCCCCAATCGTTCAACCATTTAGATGCAAACAACGTTTCTTTTCACTGATTCAATTATTCATATAACGGCTTTATTCCCAGAACTCTTAGAGTGGCTAACTCTTTAAACAACCTTCAAATCTTTAATATATCAGTATCCCGTTAAAAAAACCATATTCTTCACTTAACCATCTAATACTCTGCTTGTGTTGTTGTATTGTGTCTAGTGTTACTTGCCTGTAAGAATTATATTAGTTCATTTTGTTATACATTTTAATTTTTTCTTAATAATTTATTTGCTATCTTACTTCGGAGTTGTATTATTGTTATAACTTACTTTTAATCCACTGTATTGTATCAAGTACTACATAGTACTGTACTACTTATATCTGAATTGGGCTTGCCCGTGTATATAAATAAATAAATAATTATGACACTTTGAAAAATTATTTGTTATCAATATTAACATTTTTTTCTTTTTCTGGCAGTTCAATTTAAGGGACCTTTTTCATCTTGGACATCTGTATGCGGCTTAGCACAAATGGATGATGCTACTACTATTTAGCACAAGGACGAACAAAAAGTGATTGCTTGATAAAAGAAATATTAACATTGAGTGCTGAAAAAAATTAAAACAGAGGATTTGGAAAACCGTTCTAGGAAATACTCAAGAAACTGGTGAAGAAGACAAATGAGGATTTGGAAGTGTTCAGAACAAAAAATGATTTTTGCACACCCAACTTTGTGGAGTCTGTGTTTTGTGAAGCATGCGGAGTAAATATTTGAATATTCCGGACTCTAGTGAATCATGTTTTAGGCTACTTTCGCAGAAAATCAGTTGTTTCCTGTTAAAGGAACATATGCTTTCACATATGCAGTTATATATCTCGAAGTCTTAGCAACAACAGTCGGTCGTTGCGAAGAGGAAAGTTGTATCTCGAACTCAACGCATAAATCACTGATGATGGCTGCCGCAGTAGCAGACGAAACGTTTGTTACTTCAGGTCCAATTCGACCGCGGCCCATAGTCCGGTTTTTGTTTTCATCAATTGTTCCCTGTTAGTTTATAGTACTTGGCCATATTGTAATATTTTAACTGAAGAGAAATGTTGTCCGTCAAGGAATTTTCTGTCTTGAAATTTGCGAGATGGAAATTTTCAGGTAGTTTTTGTCATTGCAAGGAGATTATTCTGGTTATTCAATAGTAGAAGCAGATTCATACATTCAATATACCTGTAAAATAATTAACACCTGGCAAATATCTAACTGAAATTGTATCTACTTTCCCAATTTTCGTTGGTTCGAATCCAGCAGAAAATGATGTGCTTTTTCTGTTTTTTATCTAGTTTCAAACCGTTTTTCTTCAACTTGCATGATAATTGTTCTTTAAAGTTCCCAATGAACATATCGGATGAAAAATTAAAACAAAAACTGAGGAGTTAGAATCGACGAAAATATCATCAAAGATAAAGATGAAATGTGTGAGAAATGGAGTTTGATGATACACGATAAAATGGAAGATGTATATAAAAGAATATTATATGAGCAAAGTTATAGTGAGATCAGGCAAGATAAGATCAAATGGAATTGAAGAATGATACGTTGAATATGATGCAGTTTGTCAAGTTTTGAAAATATAGAAAAAAACTGAAAGTTGAGGTAAAAAAAAAATAACGCACGCTAATCTCAAGGAGAATTGATTTTTTGCTGTCTTATATTATTTCTTGCAAATAGCTGTAAAAGAAAAAACCCGGAAACCCCTGAAAATTATGACAATTTTTTTTGGAAAAAGTCTATTCTTTATTACTGCGTGAATTGAAGTTGTTGCAGTTTTTACTGACTGTTTATTTTCAAAAAGGACTGTGGGGTAGATTTTCCACCCAGATTTATATTAGTAGAGAATTGGATCCGAAACAAAAAAATGGGTTATTTTACTGCTGAAAGTTTGGGAAAATTTTTTAACATTCGTGTGGAATGACTCAAGCCATATTTTGTAATGATTTTATGGAAAGGAGTTATTCGTTTGAATAATGAGATCAGCTGGAAACGAGCTGGAGTGTTAGTTTCGGTTGTCCATCATGTGAATTCCAAATTTCGAGAAGTGTCTCAGAAGTAGGTTGTCAAAAACATTCGACTATTTTAACAGGCATGGCAAGAATTAAAATGCTAGAAAAAAAAACCAAAGAAATATTTTCTTCGAATCGCAACTATCCATAAATATGCCAAAAATTATTTAAATGAATAAATCTTGTCAACCGAACCACGTAACGTTAATAAAACAGTCCAGTCTTTCACGTCTGGTGTGAGCGCCTTTGTTGATCGTCTCCAATGTGTCTACTAATTTTCCCTTCGCACGCCAATGGTGCGCGAACTGTCCTTTGTCTCGCACCTCACCATTACATTTGGCAAGTGCAAGTCGTGGACAGACGAGAGGAGAGGCATGAGCGGGGGAATTTGCGAGTCCAGCTGGCAAGCCCATGCCAAGTACTCCGTCCTTTTCTATCTTTTCTTCGTTCTCTTCATCTTCGATAAATGGCTCGGGGCAGGGACGGATCCGAAATCTCCTGGTTAGAGTTGAAGATAAATTTGACGTGCGTTATTTTACACGTTCTGGAAACAGCATTGACAGACGTGAATCTGCGATGAGTTGATACTAGAACGATTTAGAATGATGGGAACACGCACTGTCATAGTGAACAGACTATAATTCACTAATTGAAGAAATATACTGTAAAGAATCTTGAGAAAATAGTTTGCTGAATATATAGCATCGAAAAATACAACTTCATGAAGCACGGCACTATAACAAGACGTGAAGAAAACAGCGAATGATCATATTTCTAGAAGAAAGAATGTTACCGAGTTTTTGTTACATGAGAAGGGCTTTTGTAAGGTTTGGTTACAAACTCATTACAAAAAACTAGAGATAGTTGCGTATTCAAATTTATAATTTGAGTCTCTTTTTTTTCAATGTTTCGAATGTAACAAAAATATTAATGGCCTATATAATATTAATAAACATGAAAATGAAAAAGTGTCTAGAAATTAAAGAAAAAATTATTGAAAGGGATACTGAAAGGAAGATAGAAAAATATAAATAATTATAAATTCAAGTTCAAGAGCATTTTGGGTATTGAAGTGTAATTTTCCAAGAAACTTATGAAATAGAGAAAGAGTTCAGATTATATCTAAGGATAATGGAAACATATGTCTTTTATGGATATTGATAAGAGATAGATGAAATTAAAATCCTGGAAAAGGTACTCCTGGAATTGAATTTCAAAGTGGCATTTGAGACGGATAACATACAGGAAAGTCATAGAAAGTATGACCAAAAGCTCCAAACAGAACTGGCTGGTATCTCAATCGCCACAAAATAAATAACCAGGAAAGGAATTTCTGGCAAAAACATAATCTGGACTGACAGCAGACAAGCCCTATTAGCCTTGAACAGACAACGTGTAACCTCAGGGCTAGTACCAGAGTGTCACCAAGATTTAGTCAAAGCCTCGGTAGATAAACATTATCCTGAGGTGGGTAAAAGGGAACGACATGAGTAAAGGTAATCGCATTGCCGACTCTTTAGCCAAGGAAGCGGCTGGACTAAGAATTTTAGGACACAGTGGCACCTACGGCCTGATGACTTCGACAATTGCGGAAGAGTAAAGGTAATCGCATTGCCGACTCTTTAGCCAAGGAAGCGGCTGGACTAAGAATTATAGGACACAGTGGCACCTACGGCCTGATGACTTCGACAATTGCGGAACTAGCCAAATGTTACACCCATGCTCAATCCTAAATAAATGGGATGGAGTCAAAGCAAATGCAATCTTGTCAGGATCACCTTGAGCACCCTGGGAAGCTGGCGCCGAAGAAGTATCTGGCGATGACTAGGAAAAATCTATGTTAACCAGTAGGATTTCTGACTGGCCACTGTCAACTAAGGAAACACCTTCATAATATAGGGCTAGTGGACACACCTCTATGCAAGATGTGTGAACAGGAAGATGAGACTGTCAAGCATGTCCTATGCGAGTGCCCAGAGTTATCGTCAATAAGAGAGTGTGTGTTCGGCGAGTCTTGGTCTACACTTGCCGATATAAAGGAGATGTCTCTCAGTGACCTGTCCACCTTCCTGGAAAGGACAGGATGGATGATGACCTAGGAGGACAACTCGGGAGGATGTACAGTGTACAATGGCTTACACTCACCCTCCCTACTCTACAGATACAGATACAGATGACCAAAAGCGTATCAATCAATGTATAGGTAGATTGGTGTGTGGTTTAGACGTTGAAGAAAAGAAAAACAATGGAGATTAACCTTCAAAGAATGGTTGGATATCGAGATCTAAGAAAATCAGGTATCCATAATTGGGAGAGAAAGCGATAGATAAATTAAACTTCAGTGAGCATCAATTATGAAGTCAGTTGCGAAAATCTGACAATTTAGCGTTTCTTGAATGTGTTCTGGATTTTCAGCAACTATCGGTTGATTACATCACATACCATTATAAGTATGTGAAATCATATAATATTTATAACCCACTGTTTCAAAAAATACCAAAAAAACAAGATGCTTCTATTTCAATGATCATCATATACTGAGATATGCACTACTACACTACATATTAGATCCCTTTTTCATGTAATGAAACACGGTATCGAAAACACCGTATATTGGTAATTCTGTAGCTGAATAAAAAAAAAACAGTTCATATAGAAGTTGAACTGCAGATCATTGTGGCACATGATCTTGTTGCTGCCAATTTATTCGACCAATATCATAAATGACAGTTTTATTGCATCAAGGAGTGAATGAGCAACAAGTAGATACCTACCAAACAACACCTCATGTGACGATTCAAATCCGGTCCTGCTGAAGACGTAGTCGCAGAATGAAACCCGTTTGCGACGAGATTTTTAACCGCCTCCGCCCCTTTGAATTTGCGTTTTTATGTGTTACGGCCATCGGGGCAGGGATCTCGTTTAACCTGTTTACCATATAGCGTATATGTGGCGGGAACAGAGTGTAGGTATATCTACAGACCGGGCTACCGAATGGAAGGAATAAATACACGCAAACAGGCAGGCACATTTGCAATTCGATACCATTTCTACTTGCGAAATTTAAATCAACACCTTTTTTATCTTCTCCTGTCCACCACCGGACAAATGACCACGCAGATATCGTGGGAAACTGCGATGACCCGATACAAATTGGTCTGTACCATGCGCTTTGACCGATTGCTTTAATGTTTTAGGAGCGGTAGCTAGATAGTTGAAGTATTAGAAAGGATTGGCTGTCTGGAGTTGTTATCCATGAGGGGAAAATTATCTGGCAATCGATATTACGAAATCTGATTACGATGAAACCAGTTCGTATCGTGTAGACTTTGGATTTGATAGGTCAGTTCCAGTTGAATCGATTCAAACTGTTATAAATAGTTTGCACACGGTGAATTGATTTGGATTGTTACAAACTCTTTTCGGTAAAACAGCAAAGTTGACCATTGAAATGTGGTGTTGAAATACTTGATGTACTCGACATTTTCACAGACAGTTTCTTTGGAAACGAATAATAATGAGGCACATGAATAGCATGACATACTGACAAATGAAATCTCAAACTGCCCCTGAGAATGAAGATATAATTCAGTTGAATATTAATTTCTGAGAGAATTATGCAGCAATCATTTTGGACAAAATCATAGAAATATCTGTTAGGTGATCAATGTCATCATGCTAGGACCTGAAACTAGATTGTTTTAAAAGAAGAATTGAATGAAGATATCTTTAAATTGGCCATGATATGATAGTATGACAAACTGACCCTGAGTTGAATATTTATTTTTGAGGGAATTATGTAGTAGTCATTTCGGATAGAATTGTAGATATATCTGTTGAGTGATCAATGTCGTCATGTCAGGATCAAAACCAGATCTTTTTAAGAGAGTGATTTAATGAAGAAGTCATTAATTTCGGCATGATATAAAATAGTATGACATACTGACAAACGAAATCTCAAATTGCCGCTGAGAAACAAGCTATGAGTCAGGCTTCTTTCAATATGTGTTCCAATGGGAATTATGAACCAGTCCTTTTGAACAAAATAATAGATCAGTGTCATCATGTCAGGACTGAAACTATATCGTTTTAAGAGGAATTTAATAATGAAATTATTGATTTTGCCATGATATAACATACTGACAAACGAAATCTCGAACTGCCTCTGAGAAACAACCT